GATAGGCCACCTAAGCAAGGTATACTCACCAGATCATACTCCATCTCTACCTCCATGCTCCATCAGAGGCCTCATTCCATTATTATAATAGAACCGAGTTTCTGAGTTTAAGACAGCTTGTGACCTACCCCATGTGACTGTGCTCGGGTCTGAGTGGCCAATCAACAAGTCCAAACATTGTCACATGGGAGGTAGTTACATCATCTGGCCCAGTAAGCTCCAACAGCGGGTGGACTCCAGCAGCAAGGAGGTTGCGAAGGAGTAAGGATTGGTGACTATACCTTGCTGGGATGGTAGGCAATTAGGAAGCCCCACTGATTGGTCCTTGGTCTACGGACAGTGTCTTTTATTTAATAAATGGCACTTAAAGATGATAAATGATACAGTGATACATATGATCTTGTACAATGGTCTCAACAGAAACATTGATCCATGAGTTTGTGAGGGAGTACGTATGAGTATACCATACTGGGGTGGTAGGCAATTGGGAGGCACCATAACTTTGTCCATGATCTACGAACAGTGTCTTTTATTTAATAGATGGCACTTAGAGATGATAAATGATACAATGTTAAATATGATCTTGTACAATGGTCTAAATAAAAACACTGATCCATGAGTATGTGAGGGAATACAGATTGGTGATTATACCCTACTGGGATGGTAGGCAATTGGGAGGCACCATCACTTTGTCCATTATCTACGAACAGTGTCTTTTTAAAAATGGCACTTAGAGATGATAAATGATACAGTGATACATATGATCTTGTACAATGGTCTCAACAGACACATTGATCCATGGGTTTGTGAGGGAGTACGTATGAGTATACCCTACTGGGATGGTAGGCAATTGGGTGGCACCGTCACTTGGTCCATGGTCTATGGAGAGCAGGGGCGGACTGAAAACTCATGGGGCCCCCGGGCAATAGGGGATCATGGGGCCCCTGTGTCCTTGCCCAAACTCAAAAAAGCCTATGAAAAAGGTACCAGGGACATCTCATGGAGCCCCCTACTGACCCCGGCCCTCGGGCAGTGCCCGAGTTTCCAAATGGTCAGTCCGCGCCTGACGGACAGTGTCTTTTATTCAACAGATGGCACTTAGAAATGATAAATGATACAGTGATACATATGATCTTGTACAATGGTCTCAACAGACACATTGATCCATGAGTTTGTGAGGAAGTACGTATGAGTATACCCTACTGGGATGGTAGGCAATTGGGTGGCACCGTCACTTGGTCCATGGTCTACGGACGGAGACTCGGACAGTGTCTTTTATTTAATAGATGGCACTTAGAGATGATAAATGATACGATGTTAAAAATGATCTTGTACAATGGTCTGAATAAAAACATTGATCCTTGAGTATGCGAGGGAGTACGGTTTGGTGAGTATACCCTACTGGAGGGTAGGCAATTGGGAGGCACCATCACTTTGTCCATGATCTACGAAGTGTGTCTTTTTAAAAATGGCACTTAGAGATGATAAATGATACAGTGATACATATGATCTTGTACAATGGTCTCAACAGACACATTGATCCATGAGTTTGTGAGGAAGTAAGTATGAGTATACCCTACTGGGATGATAGGCAATTGGGTGGCACCATCACTTGGTCCATGGTCTACGGACAGTGTCTTTTTAAATTTGGCACTTAGAGATGATAAATGATACAACATTACATATGATCTAGTACAATGGTCTGAATAAAAACATTGATCCATGAGCCTTGTTCACCATTATGTTTTCAATTCACGTCTGTGACAGTTTGAAGTCAGCAGTGAATTCATATACAGCGGTATCTACAAAATGCGACTATCACAGCACACCACTTTCTTTGTATAAGTGGTCAGGAGGAGAACATAAATTCATATGAAATTTTTTTACAGTCCTTTGTGTTGCTCTAATAACTTCCACAGGTCGGTTATTCATGAAAATGACACTTGTAAAGTATGTCTGCTAACAAGCAGTATAGTACGTGTATTTTATCCATACTGGTGTTCAGTTGACAATATAAAAGTACAGATGACATGTCATGATTGCAGTACACCAAATGGCCAAATGTTTCTGGACACTTGACCAGCACATCTGCTATATGGCCGAATGTATGAGGACACCCTTCCAAAGGATTGCATACAGAGACGTTTTATTATGAACTTCCAGCCTTGTGATAACAAATTGGTGGAGGCACCTTTCTGTTCCAGTATGACTGCACCCCCTGTTGTCAGGACCGGGACCTGAACCCACAATCTCTGCTGCATCTAGCTTCTTCTTGTAAAGCCACCTGAGATGCCGGACAGCTCCTTGCCTGATTACTTAAACAAACTTCCGTTCTATCTTGTTTCTGGTGAACCTTGAACTCCTTGCTCCTCCCATGAACTTTCTATTTAAGCGATGCCTGTGTACTTCCTGTTTGCCAGAATCTTCACTTTTGCTTCTGTCCATAACTCTCATTACCATCCTTGGCTTGTTCCTTGACTACGCTTCTGCTTGATCCCAAACTGCAACCATTTGTTACCAACCTTTGCTTGTTACTGACTCCACATCTGCTTGATCCCTACCTGCTGTATCTGCTACTGGACCCCAGCTTGCTCACCTCCTGTTGGGGTGATCCTGAGGACCATAACCTGGTACTAGCATGCAGCAAAAGCATGCAGCTCTAGGAGCTCTGGTGAATACTGGTTAGTACTTACACCTCGTGCTTTGGGTAACCCTGCATCATCTTCCTGGGTGACCTACTTGTGTACTGATGCTGCTGGTTGGTGGGAGTCTCTCTATTGCTATAGGTACTGGTCTCTGAGCCTGACCCCTGATCTTCACATCTGTGCACAAAGACAACCCCATAAAGGCATTTTAATCAGTTTATTAAATTTGGTGTGGGGAAATTTGAGAGGCCTTCACAGAGCCATGACCTCCACCCTGAACACCATTGTATTATTTAGGAGGCTGAGCCAGGTCTTCCCATCACACATCACAAATGGTCTTTTGGCTGAAAAGGCACAAATTCCCACAGACAACCTTCAAAATCTTGTGGAACGTCTTCCCAGAAGAGTAGAGGCTATTACAGCTGCAAAGAAGGGTCAACTCCATGTCAATGCCCATGGTTTTCATACCTTGAAGAGTCAAGTAGACATGATGGCCAGGTGTCCATCGTTTGACTTTTGGCCATACTGGGTAACAGATCCAGTTATTAGAGACATGTTTTTTGTTCACGTGTTCACAACACCATGAATTGGAGTGTTTCTGCCCTTTGATTCATATTTACCCAGTTATTAGGATGGAATTATTTTGGATCAAAGTTTCCAGCATGTCCACAGAAATGAAAAATGAAGAAGCTTACGTAACATTTTGTCTCATGGTGCAGAAGATGTGCTTCTTTCCATGAATGTTCTCCTATTACATCAACTTTCAAAAAGATAGATCATTTTAGGCACATGAGGTCAGTTTCAGTGTCGCACAGAGGTAAACAAAAGCTTTCTGCCTCTTTATAGAAAGCTTGTACAGGTCAGCTCTTGTTTTGGCTGTTGAACGCACAGGTTGATATGACATTGCTTGGGTTGATTCTCGTTGCAATAAGTTACAACTTGCTGTGTTGAAGTCAACCCAACTGTTCCCAAGTTCAGATGTGCCATCGCTTTCATTGATGATCTGTAATAACACACCATGAAGGTCCTGTTTCTGCTAAATCCAAATCTATTTTACACAGTGTTCCAGCACCATTAATAAACCAGTAAGGTTACTTATTACAGCAAGGGGCAGACGCTCAACAGAAGCTTTGTCTGTGCAACAGAAGAAGCCTGAAACTGTTGTATTTCAACCTCATCATGCACAAATGTAGGCTTGCAGATTCTTGAAGTCCACTGTTCGTACTGCTTTTGTCCACCAAGGAAATTTATGAAGGTTCATATCCATCCAGGTCATAGCAAAGCTTGTAGTAGTTAGTTAGAGTCAATTAAACTCGTTCCATAATGTTGAAGACATTTTGTCATTCATTCAAGTTCATTCGAATCAGTGCCGGGACAAGGTTACCTAGCGCCCGGGGCGAAGATGCAAGACTACTACACCCCCCCCCCAAGATGTACGTCCACAACCCCCCCAAAAAAATATCAAGCACCAATCTGCACGATAGCCCCTAAGCATATATTCCCTTTGCAAGCCAAAATTCTCCCCAAACAAAAACTCTCCCTCCTCCCAGTACAACTCCCCCTGCTGAAATCACCCTTTCCAGCACAAATCTTTGACCCTCAGGGTTTCCTTAATTAACCACATCTCCTCTTTGCTGGGAGTAGATGGGGACAGTCCCGATCCAAGAGTCCCAATGCAGGAGCACTGCAATGGCAGAAGGAAGAGCTGGAAGGGAGAGAGAGCACAGCCTGCACCTCCTCCCGACTCTCTTCTGCTCTCCTGATTCTGTTTGTCACTTCCCATAGTAAGCTAAATGGAGTAGTGTTGCTGCTGTATCTACTATTGTCAGCTTGTAGCAGCAGGAACCGTGGTGCCCCCCCCCCCACTTCCCATGATACAACAGGGCTCAGGGCAGCCACCCCTCCTGTTCCCAGTTTGTCCTGGCCCTGATTAGAATTGATGAAGACACTTGAATGGGTAGTGAAACATCTTCAACTTTGCAGAACAGGTGCAGTTGAATTCAACTAACTACGACTGGCTTCCCATTGATGGCCAAAGTTTTTATTCCAGGGATATTACCATTAAAAGTGTTTTTCAAAATTCCTCCATACAATGAAAGGCATGGTGTCAAATGGAAGACAAATGAATTGTAGTGATTTTCCCTTAATGAACGTTGGCCTTCAGAAAAATATTGATGTAATTCCATAATAAAAGCAAAATTCTTCTTTTTTGTGTTTTTTTTTTTTTGCGTTTGTGTTTACGTGAGGATCTCACGAAGTTCGTTCGCTCTGCTTTACTCGTATTGTTCTTTTAGAACTCCCGTTAAATGTCTCTAGACCTTATTTACAATAAAAATGACTTCTTAGAAAGTGTTTTCAGTTCTGATGCCTTTTCATGTGTAAGGCAAGGTGGTCCGAGCGGGAAAAGCAGCGGCCGCAAGCTGCGCATCTGAAAGGCTTGGCGCCTGTGTGTTTACGGTAGTGTCTTGTGAGCTCGTCAGAACGGGCAAACCGCCAGTCACATCCCTCCCAGGCACATTTATAGGGCTTCTCACCTGCCAGAATAATGAAATGTTGACAGTTAGTACAATTACCACAATTACACAAACAATCATAGCCTTCTGGAATTGCTTCACTAAGGCAGAAAAATTATTCATTTTCATTGCGGTTATCGTTTGCTTTCTCTTAGACTTCCTTTTCTTTCCCAGCAATTACTCACCTTCACTTCCTCATGTAGTTAAAGCCTCAGTTTAGATGTGTAAGGTACAGGGGCGGACTGACCATTTGGAAACTCAGGCACTGCCCTTGGGCCCAGGGTCAGTAGGGGTCCCATGAGATGCCCCTGGTACCTTTTTCATAGGCTTTTTTGAGTTTGGGCAAGGACACAGGGGCCCCATGATCTCCTATTGCCCGGGCGCCCCATGAGTTGTCAGTCCGCCCCAGGTAAGGTAGCACTGGACCTTGTGGGAAAAGGTACTCTCTGCCTGTTGGAAAGACCATTGAACAGTTGGTCCCTTCAAAGGTAAGATGGTTTTGAAGGTGGGTGCCATATATAAAGGTTTTCCAATGGGTTATTGGTAAACCACTTCAGGGCCTAAGAGGTAGGGTTGTCATCTGGTATTCAATGTGAGATGATTTTGGAGACCACCTCAAAAGACCATGCCAAAGCTTCATTAGCATGGGCTCCATTTCTCCCAGGGCATCCCACCCTTATTCTACACCAGATTACTGAATTAAAATCTCGGAGTTTTCAGTCAGAAACATTTTCTTACAGCAGAGGTCCAAATCGCATGTTTGTGTAGACTCAGATCCTTCTCATCGCAGCCTCCCAACTCTTATATCTCAAACCCATTCTTACATCAGTGCCCTCAGTCCCACTCAGGGGCGGACTGACCATTTGGAAACTCGGGCACTGCCCTTGGGCCCGGGATCAGTAGGGGTCCCATGAGATGCCCCTGGTAACCTTTTTCATAGGCTTTTTTGAGTTTGGGCAAGGACACAGGGGCCCCATGATCTCCTATTGCCCGGGCGCCCCATGAGTTGTCAGTCCGCCCCAGGTAAGGTAGCACTGGACCTTGTGGGAAAAGGTACTCTCTGCCTGTTGGAAAGACCATTGAACAGTTGGTCCCTTCAAAGGTAAGATGGTTTTGAAGGTGGGTGCCATATATAAAGGTTTTCCAATGGGTTATTGGTAAACCACTTCAGGGCCTAAGAGGTAGGGTTGTCATCTGGTATTCAATGTGAGATGCTTTTGGAGACCACCTCAAAAGACCATGCCAAAGCTGCATTAGCATGGGCTCCATTTCTCCCAGGGCATCCCACCCTTATTCTACACCAGATTACTGAATTAAAATTCTCGGAGTTTCAGTCAGAAACATTTTCTTACAGCAGAGGTCCAAATCGCATGTTTGTGTAGACTCAGATCCTTCTCATCGTAGCCTCCCTACTCTTATATCTCAAACCCATTCTTACATCAGTGCCCTCAGTCCCACTCAGGGGCGGACTGACCATTTGGAAACTCGGGCACAGCCCGAGGGCCTGGGGTCAGTAGGGGGCACCATGAGATGCCTGTGGTACCTTTTTCTTAGGCTTTTTTGAGTTTGGGCAAGGACACAGGGGCCCCATGATCCCCTATTGCCCGGGGGCCCCATGAGTTGTCAGTCCGCCCCTGGTCCCACTGCATATCACAATCTCCCCCTTTACATCACAGACCCCCCCCCACTTCATATCACAGTTCCCTCTTCATAGCAGTCTTCTGAAATCCCCTTCACATCACACCCCCCCTTTATTCACAGCAGTGTCCTCAACCCCCCTTTACATTAACACCGCTCCCTCAACAGTAGTGTCCTTTGCCCCCCTTCATATCAACCCCCACACCACAGCAGTGTCCTCTCTGCCCCTTTACACCTTCCAGCAGTGTCTGCCGCCTTCACACCCCCCTCCCCATCCTTCACAGCCAGTGTAGCCCCTTCATTCTCCAACCTCACAGTGGCACACAGCAGATTGGAGAGTGTGAGGCACAGCAGCACTGGGCAGAGGGTGGCAGTAGGAGCTGCTGGAGCTAATGTTTCCTATTACCAAGCTGATGATTGGTTGCTGGTACCACCCTGTATCCTAACAACCACTCACCTAATGGTTAACTTGAGAAGTTAATATGGGCAGCTCCCACGCCGCCCTCCATCCAGTGCTGTGGTGCCTCTTGCCCTCCATCCAGTGCTGCGGTGCCTCCCACCCTCCATCCAGTGCTGCTGTGCCTCCTGCCCTCCATCCAGTGCGTTGGTGCCTCCCGCCCTCCATCCAGTGCCGCGGTGCCTCCTGCCCTCCATCTAGTGCCGCTGTGCCTCCCACCCTCTATCCAGTTCTGCTCTGCCTCCTGCCCTCCATCCAGTGCTGCTGTGCCTCCTGCCCTCCATCTAGTGCTGCGGTGCCTCCCGCCCTCCATCCAGTGCTGCTGTGCCTCCTGCCCTCCATCCAGTGCCGCTATGCCTCTCGCCCTCCATCCAGTTCTGCTGTGCCTCCTGCCCTCCATCCAGTGCCGCTGTGCCTCCTGCCCTCCATCTAGTGCTGCTGTGCCTCCTGCCCTCCATCCAGTGCCCTGTGCCCCTCCCTCCAGTTCTGCTGCGCCTCCCGCCCTCCATCCAGTTCTGCTGTGCCTCCTACCCTCCATCCAGTGCCTGCTGTGCCTCCTGCCCTCCATCTAGTGCTACTGTGCCTCCTGGCCTCCATCCAGTGCTGCGGTGCCTCCCGGCCTCCATCCAATGCTGCGGTGCCTCCCACCCTCCATCCAGTGCCGCTGTGTCTCCCGCCCTCTGCTCAGCTGTGATAATGAATGCGGCAGAGGGTGGAGGAAAGAACCAGCTCCTAAATGGCAGCTACCACAGTCTGGATAGGACAGTGACTCAGTCCAGATCCACATCCTGCCATCTAGTGATGTTTACAATGTATCATGCCCCAAATAACATTTCAAATTCTTTATCTCTGCGGAAGGGTTAACCCCCTATTTGCATTGGCTGTCTATGTATATCTATTTATCAATAAACTCAAGACACCACAACATTTTACAACAATCATAAGTTTTAGAGATCTTTATTATATGGAGCTCCTTAACCTTAACCACTTTCACAATCATCAAGTTTTGGGAAATATTTTCCAAAATTAGTTCATTTGCTAAGATAAAAATAGCATTGAGGTGGAGTTAGGGGGAAGACAACATCATATTAGACACCATATAGTTTTGGGATGCCCAACAAACTCCTATAGATGTGACGGTTCCAAGTGCAAGATAGAGGGGTGGTAGCGAACAACACCATATTAGTGGCCATAATTTTGGTATGGGATGCCCAGCAAACACATATAGATGTGATGGTCAGGTGTCCACAAACGTATGGCCATATAGTCTGTATGGTTAGGTGGAAGAGGGCCCTTTGCTAATCATCTGTAGCACCCTCCTAGTGTAGAGTAGGCTGCTAGTTACATTTATTTGGCTCCACTGTAATCAAAGGAGCAGTAGTTGATTTTTAGGACTGCTTATTGTCTCATGGGCTGCTTCTCTGTTAATCCCCCCCGTCCTCTAGAGGATTCTAGAAGCATAGTGGGAGAAAGAACAGGATATGCAGCCTGAATATTTTTGGGACTCCGGCAAATCCCTGGGGAGGTGTGCCCAGTAGGTGGTGAGAGAGTCCATAAATAGTCTGAGGCCTGAGCAGTAGTGTGCTGAGTTCCTGGGTCCAGTCCTGCAGGAGGAGACCCCTGTGTGCAGCCTGGGGGGCTTATTCACATGCTTGAGTCCAGGGATCAAGATGGCTCTGAAGAGGCTCACAGGGGAGAACCAGTAGGAAGTTGGTGGGAAAGAGTCCAGCTTTTCTATGGTGGTGCAAATCTACATCTTCCTCACTAGGAAGAGCCTGGTGGATATCGACAGGGGGCAACCAGTGATTCTTTGGCTATGTGCGTAGATGACCCCAGTGCTTGAAGAGTTAGTGACTGTGTGTAGCTGGTTAACTCTGGAAGGAGTACTAGTCACTGACAGCAAAGAGATCACTCTCCCTCCCAATAAACATTCTTTTACAACTTGGATAGCAAAGTCCAATAAAAATTCTTGTGTCCTGAAATCTTATCTTCCTATAACATTCCTTAATCAAGATTTGTAGATGTTATCTATGATTCTGGAAGCTTTTTTTCTCTAATTTTATTTCAAAAGGTTGTAGGACAAGCTATCAGAACTGTATTTCCTAGCCTGAAGTTCAACTGAACCATCCGCCATCTTGGCCCTTTGGTGGCTTTGACTATATTCTTATTTAAAAACTGTTTTAATAGTACAAGTGATCACTTACATATCCTCCACTTACAAAGAACGATATCTCAGATTTACCGTTGAAGGGTTAATTTCTGCCTTTTATCATTAAAAAAACATCTTTCAGACCAGTAAAGTGACTGTGCCTAGGCTGAGAGAATGGCATCAGTCTGCTGCAGGTAGGAGGAAGGATTTCCTGAATCTCTTCTTCTCCAGTGTTAACAATGGAGTTGCAACTTTGTAGAAAATCACAACCTGAGGGGCTGCAGAGGGGGTGATCTGCACAGGGACCAGGATTTATCCTATTTCAGAGGGGTCCCCAAAAATTTACATCCACCTAAAGCACATGTGCTATTGCTGATGGGCACCAATAAGCACTTTTTTACGATATTTAGGATTCCCAAGTTTCCCACCAATCTACAGAAAAGGCTGTGTAAGGTCACGGGTGCTAAGGATGAAGGATCAGAAGCCACATTCTACGGTAGGGTCATAACCTCCTTCCCCAACCTATTTTTTTTTATTTTTCCTCTTCCCTCTATAGCTGGGTTCTGCAAAAAGTACATACTCACATGCTCAACGATCCAGTGGTCTTCTGTCAGGATCCTTCGCTCCACCACTACACATCTGGTCCTGTGTAGCTATCTGCTTCTGACATCATCAGAGGACCATCTGCCTCTCCTGAGTTCCTGCAGCTGGCCCTGTGATGATGCTCATGTCACTTCATCAGGGAGCCAGCTGCAAAAGTTGGGAAAAAACAGCCAG